GTCCATCTGGTCCAGGAGGTTTATCCACCTTTAGACCTTACAGCTTCCCCAGCAGCTTCTCCTCAGTGATAGCCTCTACACTCACCCCTGTCCCCTGACTCTCTTGAAGTTCTGGTATGTTGCCGATGTCTCCAACCGTGAAAACTGATATAAAATACCAATTCAGTTCCTCCACCACTTCTTTGTTCCACATTACTACTTCTTCAGCCTCATTTTCCTCTCTTGCCTCTCTCTTACCTTTTAGTTAGCTAAAAACTCTTACAATCTTCATTTATATTACTAGCTAGCTTACCCTCATATTTCATCTTCTCCCCCCTTATTGCTATTTTAGTTATTCCCCTGCTTGTTTTTAAAGGCTTCCCAATCCTCTGGCTTCCACTAATCTTCACCACATTGTCTGCTTTGTCTTTTGTTTTTATGCTGTCCCTGACTTCCCTTGTCAGCCATGGTCGCCTCACCCATCCATTAGTCTGTTTCTTCCTTGGGATTGCTGCTGTGTCTCCTGAATTACCCCCAGAAACTCCTGCCATTGCTCCCCCACTGTCTTCCCTGCCAGGCTCCCTTTGCAATCAACTCCAGCCAGCTCCTCCCTTGTGTCTCTGTTGTTATATTTACTCAGTTGGAATACTGCAATACATCTGATTCCAACCCCTCCCTCCCAAACTGCAGGGTAAATTCTATCAGATTATGGTCACTGTCCTCTGGGGTTCTGCCACCTTAAATTCCCTACTTAAGTCTGCCTCATTACATGTCACCATATCCAGAATCTTGGATAATTAGTTCCCAGTGCTGATCCCCTTGCAGCCACATCTCTGTGATCCCCACAACATCGTACCCACCAATCACAATCTGTGTTACAAGCTCATTTACCTTGCTTCGTATGCTGTGTGTATTTAAGTACAGCACCCTCAGTCCTGCATTGACTGCCCCCTCCTTCTCATAATTGTCGCCTTATCTGTAAGTTAGATTCCTGACCCTTTCCATACTCTCTATCCTATTGTTCTGGAAGCTTTAATAATCTCTGATGCCAACATGTTTCATCCCATTGGAACAGCTCCCTCTTTCCCTAGTACTGGTCCCAATGTGCCATGAATTTTAACCCGTTTCTCACACACCAATCTTTGATCCATGTGTTTACCTCTTTCACCTTGTTGACCTTATGCTAATTAATTTATGGCTCAGGTATAATCCAGAGATTATTACATTTTTGGTTCTGCTTTCGAATTTAGCCCGTAACTGCTCATATTCCCTCAGCAGAACCTGTTTCCTCTTTCCACGATATCGTTGGTCCCTACATAGACCACGATAACTAAACCATTCCCCTCCCACTCCACATTCCTCTGTAGCCCAGGTGAGAAAT